ACTTGCCTGATCCCTAACAAGGATTTTGTGATAGAACATCACGTGTTTCCTTTTTGTTTCGGCTTCTGTAAACTGGTCCATTTGCTGCAGACGGCTTTTATTGTACTCTGGGTAAAGTATCCCGTTGACGAAGATAGTGATGCTTTCAGCTTACTGCGTTTATAAAACACTTTGTCACTTGGGTCAGAGGGGATGAGAATTTTGTTATGATATCGCGGGACGGAGTGAGTTAGTTTCCCGACGCGTTGAACACGGTCAAACTTACTCTAGGAAGTTTAAAAATGTTCATTTAGCAGGCGTGAAATTTGCGTTGATGACTCCTCCCAGTTCTCGTGATATTCTTAGGATTCCGGCAATCCTGAGGTTGTTTTAGCTAAATTCTATGTCATCCTACACAGGAGGAACGAGAACGACAAGATAAGGCATATGGGGAGAGAGAATTCAGAACGTTGATCAAGGCAGCTTCACTCCTCTGGTGTTCACAACCCTAGTTGGATCGATCAAGTGCAAGATGCTTCCTACGCTAGATTCGCAGAGGTGCTATCCGAACAGAAGCAGCAGCCCAAGCGTTACAGCCCGATGAGATGTCGATCAGTCTTTTAGGTCTACTTTGCTCTGCCTCAGGGGAACGAGAGCATCGGCCCCAAAGCCGACAACAGTTGGGGTGCAGATATTGACTACGAGGTACAGCTACCGAATGCCACATAGATCTGGTGGCTCAACTAACTCAACACAGCTAGGATAACTATTTGCGTATTAGGATATTTAATTTTACTAAAGCCATGCTAGTTGTGCTATTAAGTGGAAGCTGGAGGCCACGTTTCCAAAAAAAAAAAAAGTAGTAGTAGTAGTAATAGCAGTGTGTGTGTGTGTGTGTGTGTGTGTGTGTGTAGTTACCGTCTGTTACTAACGAAGAAATAATAATTACAGGTAAATAAGCTTTTCCTCTTTATTTCTCAAGAATTATAGCCAATTTAAGAATAGTGACTATAACTCAAATCCATACATGTAATTTACTCTGCATTACTATATACAATGCAAAAAAATTTCTTAGCATTACCCAAGTGCCTAACGATATTCTTCCGGTCTGCTGCCTGCTTAAATCGAAGCTAGAAACGTTTCCAGAACGCGAGGACCTAGTTTGGGCGAAGTTCTCCTTCAGCAGAATAAGGCAAGCGATGGAGCAGCCCAGAATCAGTAGGTAGAGAGCACCCTGCAAGTGGTAACCCCAAAGTCATCTCTCTGCTGTCTTCCTGAAGAAATCATAAGATGTTTTACCGATGATTATAATATTCGTTTATACTGTACCTAGTCTCCGTTACTTTATCAGTCATAGATTTCCATATATATTAGATATATCACTCTCTTTTGTTATTATATGATGCCTTCCTATGGGATTTTAGTTGGATACGTTATGATACCATGACAGTACGCGAGACAGAGTAATACGTAATATATTTTGATAGCTCGACATGTGATGTTGTGTGGTATTGGGTGTGTTTTCTTAAATAATTGAGGGTAATTGCAAATCATTTAATAGGAAGTAATATTAGTGTATTATCTCTGTATGTTTCCACGATGTGTGATAACATGTGATACTCCATTCTGCTCATTATGCTATATATGTGATGTTAAAGGGGTATTGTGCCATTATATAGTCTTTTTAATGCTGTAGTGCTATGTGATATATTAAGGTGTTGGTGTGATATAATATGGTGCTTTGTGATGTAATGCTATGGCTATTGTGTTGCCTGACAGAATAGAGTTATACTGAATGAAATAAGACTGCCATATTACCAGTATACTGCATGATATTGAACTTCTGCGCCCATTTATCCAGTGTTATTATATGTGCGGTAAAAGTACTCTGGATAAATTGGATGTACACACAAAACACATATATTTTATAGCGCAGTTTTATCGTAAAAACAGTTCATAAGGAAAAATATTCTAATGGGTATCAGGTGCCGCGCGACATCATAAGTGATAACACCAAGTGGCTCACCAGATCTTAATGTCCATCTGAGTCACAAACTGGTGTCAGGCACAACTTTCAATGTAAAAGTTAACTAAATTCTTCCCACAAACATCAAAACTATTGTTCGATAATATGACTCCTTAACTCTTCACACAGAGGTTTTGTGCTTCGCCTATGACACATGATAATATGGTTTTGTCTGGAATTCCATACATTATCGATATTGATGAATAATAATTTGGCATTTTTACATTCAGCACCATCCTGTGAGTTTAGCGGCAGGCGGTTCGTCGAACTTAACTTTAACCGACGGGCTTTCAACATTTCATTAGAGATTGATTTGTTTCCTTCGGTCGCCAGTACGTTAAAAAGTAAACAGCAAACGATTTAGAATTATATACTGAACAAATTTAGTTCTTACCAGGGCAAATATGCCACTGGACCAGTAGTTCAGTGCACTATGGATGGAGGAGAAGGAGGAGATGCCTGGGCGTCCAGTATTTACCAGGGTTGCTCGAGGTCCAGCAGCAGCTGCCCTGTTCTCCTCACGCGCGCGGATATTACTCACTGGCCCACTGTTGTATAATGCCAGCGTCCTCTAACTGAGATTTGAGTTGAAGGAAACGCGTATATGGCAGGATCCTTTCCTACAACAAACAAGTCGACTAGAATATATATTACCTAAGAAATCATAGAATTATTGTAAATATGAGATATATCTTACACATGAAACAGCATAAATCAGTGTATGCAAAATCAATCGGATTCAACTTTTATCAGTTTTGGTAGCAACAAAACAAGCTTTTCCACCACTCCAAAACCAGGAATGACCCTGGCACCAAATCCTCATCACATCTAATACTACACAACAACCTGGCGGGAAAAGTAACACAATACACATGCCTGAATGACCACCCGAAGCAATCAAAACTATTCCACAAAGCTTCTTACGATGTAGAAGGGTGTTTGGCCGTAACTGTTGGTGTACTTGGAGTCAATGATGACAGTGATGTGGGTATTTAGGACTGAAGAGCGAGTAGCTCCCTCTCCCCTCTCACCTCTTGCAGTGCCTCATCTGCTGTCGTGACCTAGAGTGATAGGATTGAAAAAGATGTTTGTTAATAGCAATTACATCTGAAAGATTGCTTGCGCTTGGTTAACCCCTATTACAAATTTTCGAACTGGATAAAATAAAAAATGAGTTGATACTGAGTTCCTAAGTATACCGTAGTATTTCTCACGGTTGTGTGCTTAGGATGACTCAATACTTGCGTGTTTGTGTATGTATGTAGGAAAGTCAGTGTGAACATAAATACCAAAAGTATGGTGCTGGTCTCTAAACACATAACCACAGAACTCAGATGAGGGATGGGTATATGTGGCACCACTTTTTGGTAATTTTGATATTTCTTTTGGATTGATATACTGTAGGTTGTATGTGTGTTGGTATACACCTGTTGCTCATTTTATTATTGACGAGTTTTATGCTTCCCTCATCAAAGAAATGATGTCATCCTAACAATAATATCTTATTTCACATATTGCTTGGATCAAAATTATTTCATTCGAATCATAACATAATTGTATATCTGTTACAATGAGAAAAATAAACTTGAGAAAGTTTTATGTTACAAATATTTTGTTTACTTACCTCCATTTTTATTTATCTCCTTCACGACATAGGAAGTCAGTATGTTTCTCGAGAAATATTCCTTTGGCATTCCCTTCTCATCATCCAAAGTGTTCTATACCCACTTCCAGTTAAGCTTCTATCCACAACAGATCCTCAAATGTTTCTGGAGACTGGGTCCTCCTTGACTACTGTCAGGTGGATTTATGACGAACGAAACCTGTGATCATGACGACACAGAACACCAGCCACCACCCCACCAGCACCTGCAAACATTAATCTTGTGACCAGGCAGCCAACGTTTATATAACTTCATCCTACCAATACCTACTTTACTTAAATGACCAGATTTTAACCCTCAGTTATTCGAGTGATATCGCTGAGTTTCAACCAAGCACTTTTCGAGCAGAAGTTAGATTTTTCGGGAAACAAAAATCAGATATCATATGTGTTCTTGAAAAACGATTCATTAAACATAAGAATTTTCTATTTAGCAGGCAATATTGCAGGTTGGCCATCTCCTTTTGTATTTTCTAATCCTGTCTAATCACATTTATTTATAAAGTCAAGTGTCTTAGATTTCTGTCATATTCATGCATGTTTTGACGAGATACGTCATACAGCAGAAACAAAGAAGAATTTTGCTATGGGCATATCAAATATACTTTAATTTGGTTCTAGTAACACTACAAACTCCCCTTTGAATACTACTTGTGTCCAAAACAAATGTAATACCGTAAAACTAAAGTTTTTGGCAGCATGAACAACAATAATGATTACCAAAGGTGGTCAGTTTAGATTTTTCACCCTAGCAGAAAGAAGTTGCGAAAAGTTCGTCAACCGTTTTAACCATAGAGCACAAAATATTCCAGTGTCAAAAATCTTCAACTTAATTATTTAGTGGGTCCTTTATTATGCTGGGCTCCAGGAGTGATGCAGGGTGAGAGGACAATGAGACTTTTCTTATGGACGGCTCTAGGTTTTCAAGGATTTTCATACATTGACGAACGATAAGCATGAAGGTGTAGCTTAATATGTTTTTCCAAGTTACTCAAGCAAAGACGTATGTTGTTGTCACAGACGATAGGCAAACACGTTAATAATGGTGTACAACAAGCAGTCAGTATCCTTTTATTTTCTTGATAAAAACAAATAAGCTGCCCTGCCCTAAGGCATCACCAAGGGTTTGTTAAAAATGAGTTTACGTAGAAGCAACAATAAAAGAAGAGTAGAACATGGGAAAAAAACATTTACTTTTACACAGATGAAAGATTTATTTTTCCTTGGAGTCGCTGACGGAGGGGTTGAGGGTGGCTGCCCAGAAGCGCGCCCCAGCTGCATGAGGAATGCGGTGGTGAACTTCACACCACGACCTCCCGCAAACCATCGCCTGCCCTATGTATAAACCACAGGACACACCCCACGCCACTACGCTCACCAACAGCGCCACCCACAGTTCTCCTGCAGGAAAGGAGAAGCAACATTTAATTTTTGCACAGTAGTTTCCTTTAAAGTACCTTGAAGTACCTAGGCATTGACAATCATGAAACAATTTTAGTGACTCACAGATCACCCACCCTTCCATCATGCAGCTTACCTGGCGACAGAATAAGTCATGGAGGACTAGTTATGGGAATGCCAATCTAATATACAGTACAAGCAAAAAAAAAAAATATTACCCACCTCAACCCAACTCCAATCCCTAACTTAATCTAATTTAACCTAACCTAACCTACTCTAACCTAACCTACCTAACCTAACCTACCTAACAAAACCCAAATTAACCCAACCCAACCCAACCCAACCCAACCCAACCCAACCACACAACAAAAACCCAACCAAACCTAACCCAACCACAACAAACCCAACCCAAACCTCAACCCAACCCAACCCAACCCAACCCAACCCAACCCAACCCAACCACAACAAAACCCAACCAAACCTAACCTAACCACAACAAAACCCAACCCAACCCAACCCAATCCAACCCAACCACAACAAAAACCCAACCCAACACAACCCAACCACAACAAAACTCAACCCAACCCAATCCAACCTAACCACAACAAACCTAACCTAACACAACCCAACCACAACAAAACCCAACCCAACCCAACCCAACCCAAACTACAACAAAACCCAACCTAACCTAACCCAACCCAACCACAACAAAACCCAACCCAACCCAACCCAACCCAACCACAACAAACCCAACCCAACCCAACCCAACCACAACAAAACCCAACCCAACCTGTAGCTCAACCAAACCGAACTAAATCCAACCTAACCTGACCTAACTTTATCACACTTCTGACCTCCTGACAGATAACCACCCCCCGCTATCGCTGTGTCGATATCCCAGTCACCTAGACCACGAGAGTTATATCTCTTATAATTTCTAGTGTTGGGATGGAACATTATACTTGCTGACCTAGTTGATGTGCTTAAAGACTTCAGTTGTTGTAGTAAAGAAACAAATATTATAACAACATAAAAATCTCAGTCAGGAAGATTTTGTTTTGTCCGCATCACACGGGGGCTAGTGGTCAATAACAGAATAACAGTTCCATGCGGCAATGTGCCTTGGGACAAATGCAATATGTGTGTACAGTTTCAGGTCTGTGACTGCTTCCACTTTGAGATATGGTTGCCAAAACCACACTGGCCACTATTATATCGAAATTTCGTATTCCCAGTTTTAGATAAAACAGCTAGAACAATCAATAAGGACACTTAGCACATGTGCTTTCCAAAGGTATCTGAAGACAGAATGGGGAAGATGGACGTTGTGCAAAAATATTACGTTGTCACCTATCAGGAAGGTTGATCTTATGTAAATCCTTCATATTTCATTGTAGGTGGCGATCCAAATAGATCAATAATGTACAATATATCACAGTTCAGTTGATAGACGCGCTTCTCAAGCAATTCCAAGAATTATATCAACTACCGTGCCAAAAGGGTCTCATCAGCGATAGTGGTGTCGTAAGTAGGGCGTTGGCTTTATAGACACTATATGCTTAAGACATCGATTTCATAAGCGCTTATGAACTTTCATGATTACGGACTCGTTTGGGGGCTTACGGGCCCACCTATGTCTACCACCTCCTCGCTGGAGTTGACCTAACATCCTGCTGAACTTGCCGTTCTTCAGAACCCCCAGGCACGTTGAGGCTGCTCACGAATATCCAAACTGTTGAATATGTTGATAATTTAGAATTCTACCTTATGGTTCTTCCATTTCAAGGGAAAATTAAGACATTTGTGAAAAGCTTCTAGCTCAGTTTACACTAAGCGATCATCAGTATATATACACACACACACACACACACACACACACATATATATATATATATATATATATATATATATATATATATATATATATATATATATATATATATATATATATATATATATATATATATATATATATATATATATATATATATTCGATAATTTATGTCTATTTTCCTGATATTAATCTATGAGTTTGATACATATTCTGGCCTGAAATTGAGTGTATGTAAGTGAAGACAGAGAGCAGTCTAGCATCAAGACTGTCTCTGAGTGTGACGGTACTGCCTGGACTCATTGCTGTTTAGTGTGAAGGTCATATATGGGAAGAATCGTACAGCTGAGAACTGATCTTGTACAAAGAAGTTATGAAACTGCTCTGTTGAAAAAATCGTGGAACCAATAGACTGTTGTAAAGAAATTCGTCAGGTCGCTATTTTTGAAAAGAGGAATACTTTATTATTAAAAGAAAAAATCAATTGAGTTTTTAAGTAAGATAACATGTAGTGGAAGGGATCCCATGAAGCTTTTCTTATGGACGATATTTCACATATATATCTTTACAAACCAGTATATGTGTGGACTTATTTTCTTCAATAATATTTTTATAATTCACATTGAAAGTATTTTTTAAGAGTAATTAACAATAAAACATAGCATAAATTTTAATTTATTTTAAACCATATCTAAATCATATGTATACAAGGTAGATAAGCTTATATATCTCCAGTCTTGTATGAACATATAGGAAACCCTAAGTAATGGGTGAACATACTCACATTTCGTGTTCAGCTAAAATATGGGTCACATAGTGGGTGAAATTTGACAGGAACTTACCATGAATGAAGAGGTCATCAGTATGCTGGGGAAGGATGAGGTTCCACTTGTGGATAAGCAATGTCCGCCTCCCGTTGTTGCAGTACAGACACTGCCGGTACACCCACACACGCTCACTACCGATGCGCCAAGAGAAGAGGGCTTTTTCTAATCAAATTTATAATAATCACAAATTGTAGCATACAGTAAATTCACATGAAAATTGGAGCACACTTCCATAAGCTCATGTTTGTCCTTTCTGTAGATTTTCTGTATATAGCAAATAATGCATTACTTTGTAATTACAACACGTGAAATACCTAAAGGAACTGCGTGAATTGAAGCACTTGATAGAAAAATTAAACTACTCGGAAGAATGGCTACCCTAGTCTAGTACATTTGCCTCTTTGGAATGTATGGCCATAAACTCACCTCCTTCAATGCATGACTCAGCACGCCGCAAAAAAAGAGTGATACAGAGGAGAGAAATAGTGAAGTGAAAGAGTGAGGATGAGTCATCTTACATACAAAGCTGCAACATTTTAGATTATAAACTATTGTCTTATCTTAACAAATGTATAGGTAAACACACTTATACAATTGTTTACTTTTTAAGTATAGAGTTCGTAAAGCGTCATATTTCCATATATCTCTTTATTTAAGAAAAAATAAACATTTGCCAAATTTGTATATTACTATTTTCACATGGCTATTTTTTACATGGCTATTTTACATGGCTATTTTCACATGGTCATATATGGTCAATTTCAGCATACAATGGGCTCTAATTGAGATCCCTGTTACTGTTCCCTACTACACCGTACTTTTTATGTATTTCACAGGAATTGTTCCGTTAAATTACGATCAGTAACTGCCTCTGGTGACACTCTGATTCCTACCTTCAGAAAAACTATTTCAGATCACCAACAGAGAAAACAGATCGCCCTTAACGTGAGAAGATTCCACACAGCTTATTCAACATTAAGCAAACAATAGCAACGAGAGAGAGAGAGAAAAGTTATATAGAGAACTGAAGGTAGCAAGGAAGGCGTCAAACTCTGAGGATTCTTCCAAAGGTAAATAACTAAAACAAGAGACAAGATTGGACCAATACAGTCAGATACCGGCGAGCTTAATGGATAAACTAATGAGAAATGGGCACAATCTGAAAATATATTTTAACAGTTTTCACCACTGAAAATTTCAACATGATACCCGAGGCACCGACTTTACAGTATACAGAGAGATAGTGAAAAATAGATTAAGTGACCAGTAACGATGTAGTAAAGCAAAATAGACAAGTTAAAAGCCTTAATAAGTCGCCAGTCTGCATAGATATTTGCCGTGGAGTATTAAAGGAATGTAAGGAAGAGCTTTGTATGCCTTTTCGTAAATTTGTTTAACAAGTCATTAAAAAATTGCGTAGTACCAGAATCTGGAGGATAGCGAATGATAATTTACTAAGAAGGAAAGATAGGATCACTATCCGCTAACTACCGTCCAATCAGTCTAACATCAAATTAGAAAATTACTGAAAGCAATCATTTCAAACCCCTTATTCGAATCACCTGAGAAGTACGCTGATCATCGATCTACAACATGGCTTTCACAAGCGGGCGTTCATGTCTAAATAATCTATTAACATTCTCCTTTTTCATCTGTTTTCGAATCAGTGAACGAAGTACTGACTATGTGATGTGGTATATCTCGACTTCAGCAAAGCCTTCGACAGAGTCCCCACGAAAGACTAATAAGAAAAGTTGAGGCCAAGTAGCCAGCGGTGATATTTCAAAAATGATTGGGGCGTGGTTACAGGACAGGAAAACAGCGAGCAGCATTAACGCACCAAATCCTACCGGAGCAACGCCAATAGTGGAGTTCCCAAAGGCTCAGTATTCTCACCCATTATTATTTATTATATACATAAACGATTTAGATAGATTTTATGTGACAGCAACATAAGTAAATTTGGTTGATGACACTAAAATAGGGCGCCAGAATTAAATCTGACGAGGACTCTGAAACCCAAGCAGGAAGATCTTAAAAAAAAATTTTGAAAATGTATTCCGAAAATTTACATGAAATTCAATGTGACAAATGTAAAGTACTCAGTATAGAGATGTAAAACAGGGAAACCATATCAGATGGAATGTAACGATGTTATTGAGAAATCCGACTCATTATAAAGATTTTGAGGGTAATGATAGTTATGAATCTTAAGCCAAGTAAGCAATGTGAATTTTTTGCTCGAAACAAGGCTAACAAAAGTTCTTGCCCATACAAAGGTATGTTGAAGCTACAAGACTAGTAGAGGCCATTCTTAAAACTATATCTTGCGCTGTAGATCT